ATCCAAGCATGTAACCGGGGGCTAACAGAGAGGACAAGTGTGACGTCACATTGCCATGGTAGCAAATTTGTTGGATCACAAAAGTCTTTCTCGAGAGAGAAGGACATTTGCCTTTTCGAACGATGGAAGAAAAGAGTGCGGGCTACCGTTTTGCTTCTGAGGGTAATCATGCACAGGAAAGCCATACATGTCAATGCAATTGTGTCTTTGTATTTTTCTATTGCAGGACCACAGTTTGCTGAGACCAGAAATTTTGATACAATTGCAACGTGATGTAATGACGTCTCTCTCTAGGCCCAAAAGAATAGAATGCAAAAATAAGCAAAGAATACACAACTCCTCTCCCCAAAACGAATTAAACCATCACACTCCAGGACGTAGACGTAGACGTAGCTGTCGCACTAGGGGAAGGCTAGTGCTGGAGTGGGAGAGAAGGTGAATGGTTTCTGCTGCGTAGGTCACTCTTTGACAGTCATTGGTCCACTTGTGGTGAGCTACTTGTAGTTCTTTGGCAGAAAATGGGCCTGTTGTGCGGGTCTCTCGATTTTTCTAGTTCTTTACAGATCGTAAGACATAGGCTTTTACTGCAAGCAACCTTCTTAGTGCGCTGTAGCGGGATACATCAATGACATATTAAATGCCTGTCTTCTCCTCTGCTGGTTCTGTTTGAGTAGACTCATCGGCAGTTGTTTCAGAATCAACTGGGGCAGAAGAGTTCATGTGTAAGACCTGTGAGGGTTTCCAAGATGAACACTGTGATTCAAATGGCAACCAATGGGGACCATGTGTCCATAGAGCTGCAGAGTGTGGCTGTGTAGTGTTGATCCCTCGAATGAGTAAATCAGCAGGGTTCTCGTTGGTTGGGCAATGGTTCCATACTGATAATGGAAATAGACTCTTGATCTCTCTAGTGTGGTTTCCAATGAATGGTTTCAGCTGTTTGTTAATGCGCAGCCAGTGAAGAACAATTTCACTATAGGACCATAGCTTGACCTTTAAGTTGGGATACCTCGGCGTAAGGGCTCTGGACAAGAAGTTGGCTAGTCTTGCACCAGCTAACGCTGCTAGAAGCTCCAGCTATGGTAAGTTAACTACTGTTAGGGGGCCACACGAGACTTTGCCTTGACTACAGAGGACTGATGATCATTTGAAACATGAGCGAAGGCTCCTATACCTTGGGGCTGCTATCCCCAAATACATGTAGATAGATTGGGGAGGCATTCGCCTGAGAGTCTGAGAAGTAATGTCTGGGGATGATGATCGTGCCCGCATCGTGAATTTCTTCTGCACTACTGTTCCATTTGGTTCTAAGTTCGGGTGGAATTGGTTCATTCCACTCAAATTGTTGCTGCTATAGTTCTTGCATCAGTAGTCTGGCTTTGATAGTGACAGGAGACAAAAGTGCAAGTGGGTCATACGTCCTTAACGCAATTTGCAGTACAGTACGTTTGGTGATAGGTCGGCTAGATGGCTGATAGATTTTGTGGGTTTTCAGGCTGAGGGTATCAGTGAGTAAATTCCACTTAAGGCCGAGAATGTTAACAACATTGCTTGTGTCAGCCGCGTTATCCTTTGCCGCCCTTTCAAGAAGCAACTGGTTTTCGATGCCCATGAACGTACGTTGAAACATGCAGTAGTCATGATGGATCTTGCCTCTGAATAATACTGGACGGTTTCGGGCTGGTGATCGCAGCCTGATATAATGTTGTCAACCTGGACATTGTTCTGTTATGTCTTTAGCGATAGGCGAGCTGTGGTTTCTCAGATGACAATGTGAGGTGGCATTTAGCATGAAGGGAGAGCTGGTTGATCCAAATAGGACAGTCTTTAATCGATATACTTCAAACTTGCTCTCGGGGTCTGTTGGGTCTGGTAGCCAGAGGAATCTGGTGAAATCTCCAGCTCCTTCATTGGCTTTCATTCAGGCCAACATGTAAAAAGGTCTTTTCAATGTCCGGTGATAGACCATGGGTGTATGACCGGAATCGCAGGATGATAGAAAACATATCATTAAGAAACGGTGGGCCAACCAAAAGACAATCATTTTAAACTAGGGTCATTTGGCGTTGAACTAAAGCCACAGTCATAGACAACTCTGACAGGCGTGGTACTTGATTGTTTCCTCACAGGGTGGTGGGGAATATAGTGCGCCCTATCAGTAGAGTTGACTTCATCAACCATCTCTATAAAACTTCACCTTTCCATCTCCTTGTGGATGTCATCGTAGGTTTCAAGGAGATGGGGTGTGTCAGCAAGGCGACGGACCATGGCTCTTGTGCGCCTTGTGCAGCTTGAATAATTCGAAGGAAGTGGAGGCGCATCTTCCTTCCAAGGGAATTTTGCTGTGTAGCTTCCATCAGAGTTTCTTGTAATCGAGATGTTTAGGTAATTCTCGAGGAAAACAGCATGATCATCCTTCTCTGCTCCTGGAAGGATACCCATGGACTCCAAGGACCAGCACTGTCCTAGATCAAATTCTTCTTTCTTGGTGGATGACAGTGTGTGTAGTTCGATTAACAGCAGTGTCCGAGGGTTGAGCAATGCAATGGTCCAGATAGCAGGTAGCCAAGCATTGAGGCGACAGCAGTTGGTCCCGGTCCGCCGATTATGGTGTCTTCAACTGTGTCCCAGTAGTGGTCTGCTCCAATTAAGAAATAAATATCAAATTTCTCATCCGAGGTGATGTGGTGAGCTAGTTTCAATCCCCTAAGGTAGGGTATGTCTTAGCTCTGATGACGGAAATTGGTTTTAAGAGGCGCGGCTATCTTGTCTACTGCGAGGACACGTAGTGGAATTTTCTCCCCATGAATGGTTACAACGTTGATAACGGCAACTGGTAACTGTCTGCCGGCTGGTGTATGAGCACCAAAGGCTGAGAGAGAATTTGATCCACTCTTCAGTAGTGGTACGCCGAGTTGATTGGCCAAGGCATAAGTGATAAATGAGCGCTTTGCCCCTTCATACAGGAGAATATTTGCCTCACAGTAAATGTGCGCTGTATTGACTATTGATATGGCTGTTTTCAATAGTGAAATTTGACCACCACTGATCAGGAAACTGGCTGCAAGTGTGGGGTCTGTGATAGGTGAAAGGTTAGCGTGAACAGATGATATTGATGGTTCACTCGTGTCTTGAGGAGTGTTAGTGGGAGCCGTAGGAGCAGTGGGAGCTGTGGCAGTCCCTCTTGGTGAGTGTTCCCTGAGCAGAGACTGGTGTGATGTTTTCCCTTAAATTTATGACAACGGTACCTGGATGTAAAAGGTTTCCCAAGCAGTTGTAACAAAGTCTTTCCTTCCTAATTATAGACCACCTTTGCTGACAGTCAGTAATCACGTTACAATTGTACGAGGAGTGGGGTCCCTTGCAGTAAGTGCATTTCCGTTTGGGTTCTGGCTTGTTAGATTTCCCAGGATAAAGACGACTTCCTTGTATTTGAGTGAGGAAGGAACTGGTAATTGTAGGGGTGAATCCATGAAGGGTGCCATTAAGTTGGATACCTGCTTCAAGGATTCGAATTTTCTTTACGATAGCTTCTCTCAGTTCCTGGAATTTCCACTCAGGGCTGTCATGTTTGCGAGCTAAGTTCTTTCTCAACTCATGGGGTAGTTCTCCTAGGATAATAGGAGCTAGGAGATCCCCATAGCTTTCGTGTGATCTTCCGAGCGATTCAAGACCTCTGACATGACTTTCCATCGGGTCATAAAACAGCTGCAAACTCGTTAATCGATTGATGGGGCTTGCAATATCTAAGAGAGCTTGTTCTTGCATATGGGCACTTTAATATTATCTTACTGGGTTGGCCAAAACGTTCCTTACGTAGTTTTACAGCTTGTTCAAAATTGATGTTGTTGAGTGGAAAGCCAGCTATAACCCTGAATTGCTTGCCGTGATTGCTATCTACACAATGTGATAGTCTATGCAATTCCCTCCCAACTATGATCAAAGTGCAATTAATGTAATGTTTAAAACTATAGTTTCATTTTTCATTTACTTATTATTTATTGGTTGAATCTGAGTTCCTGTTCCTGGTCAAGTTCAAGTTTGATTTTTAGTTCGAGTCAAATGCGTTCCTACTTAGAGTTTAGATGTACATATTGAGTGAGAAGACTACTAACCTGCTGTATCCATCGATTGGTTCAATGATACCATCACGCGAAAACATATCTTACCAAGCTTAATTTGAGAGGGCCCAAGATATATTGTGTTAAAATTGTCCGCTCTTTCAAAACGGGTATTGGTAATTTCTATGCCTCAATGATTATCTGCATAGCTGGGATATTATTTCATTGATTCCAACAATGGCGAAATGCACCGACGAAATACTCATTTTTGAAATTATTCATAATGCAAGTGCATACACGGGAAGTTTGCTGTAATAAGCATCTGCCGGAAGGTCTCCATTGTTTCCACTTTTAATCTGCGGTGCAGGCTAAAAGTTAAACAATTCTTCCGAAGAATGGATGAAATAGCAAACAAATGAACTTACCCCTAATTTTCCATATTTTTTGGTGTTTTAAAATATATGCAACCACAGGTGATCACGTACATGAAAGGGTGAGATTAGAATTTATAAATGTAGTAGTGTCCTTCAAAGAAAATATTAGTAATGCCTTCCAAACATCTTTTTTTATCTTCAAACGAAAACATTAACTACTTGATAGTAATCTTGACGATAAAAATTTACACTGAACTCTTTCTTTGAACAGCTGACTATTTCTCATGATTAATTTGGCCAAAACACGAATGACGTGATTACGATGATCTTTTGGAGTAGTTTTTCACGGGAAACATTTCTTAGTATTTGTACTGAAAAAGAAATTAGATCGATAATTGAGATAGCAGTCTATCTCCGCACTTGCGACGGAAACTTTAATGACTTAGATGTATGTGTGAACAACAGCTATTGCCATTTACACAACCTAGTGAGCATGCGCAGTTCAAAGTCGTCTAAATGCGTTGATCGGAGGTAAAGTGGACCAAGTATATTGGTTGTTTTCTGTTATAACAGCAACTGGGAATGGCTTTTTGGTACTTTTCATCGTCAAAAATCGCAGGCTACACTCCACGGCCAACTGGTTTGTTTGTCGTTAGTTGTTGCTGACTTTGTGTTGGGAGTTGCGATATTTCCCATGGGACATCTTTGTAGCATCTTAGCTGTATGCAATAAGAGCGTCTATGTGACCTTACATTGGTTTTTCCTTCACTCCTCCGATACAAACTTGGGCATTTTAACCTGGGATCGCTACATAAACATTGTTCATTCCTTCAGATATCCTAACAGCATGACTTCAAGAAGCCCTGGAATAGTCATTTGTATGTCGTGGGTAATTCCTTTGATCATTTCGCTGGCTGTTGTGGTAGGAATGCACGCTACGAACTCATACAAAGTTTGGAAAATCTCACGAATAACCGGAGTCTCGATTTTTGACATATCTGCGTGTGTGTTAGTTTCCCATGCTGTTGCCCGCATTCTAGTTGTCGCACGCGCCACAGCAAACGGAGATTCCACCTTCCGAAACGCAGTTAGATCGCTAGAGATTCATGAAGGTTACAACTGCTTTTCCAAGAAAACTGCACCTATCTTCAAACGTAAGAAGCACGGAGCAGCATACTTTATAATTGCATTAGTAGCGTTATTCTTGGTATGTCATGCGATAATAATAGACTATTTAGCTCTCTGTTTTACATTTTCTTGCAAGTTATACAAAAAAGGTCCAGAAATTCTGACCTTATTTTTGGTTTAAATTCAGCAGCAAACCCTTTGGTTTACGCATTTTTTGAAGCAGGATGTTAAATTAGAATTACGCAAGCTCGGTTGTGAAGAAAGGTAAAAGCGAACTTTCGCAAATGTGTTTTAGGCTGAAATGTGTTTTAGGGTGTTTAAATGATAAAAAGGTTCTTTTCAGTATTACCCGATACTGGTTTTACTACAAATTACACCAAATTGTACATTAGTGATTGAGTTATTGTCCAAACAACCAGGTACGGCTTCTTACCTAGGTGTAGCGGATTTAAGAAGAAATCAAAACCTATTGCGACCGTGACACTCTTTATTAACATGCAAAAAAATTATAACACGCTTCTGAGTGTTAGGTTACTCCGAGAGCCCAAAACCAGCCGACTGGCAGCTGTAATTCAAAGATGCTCTTTTTTACTTATTTTCAAAAAGAAACAATAGACTTATTACCGTAGGCGTCAAATCTCCACGAATACTTTTGAATGTGTTTTTTGTAGAAAGAGGAAGCCTTACTGTCATCTTTCCCTTTTGCCGCGCGCTCACATCAAAGAATAAAAAAAGGCGACCAATATTATTGTTATAATAATTCTTATTCTTATTGTTATTGTAATTCATACTCTTCTAAATATATTTATCATTATCATTAGTATCATTAAAGTGCCAATAAAAAATTTTTAGGGATGGAACGGTTCCTCCAATATCATCTATTATCGTCGTTGCTTTTCTGTCTGTTTGCTCCAATCAATGGCGCTGAAGATTTCGGTCGGAGTGATGTATGACGACACAGGTCTACAGCGACGCTTTATCCGTACACGTTTACATCACTTATCTTGTATAGCTCATCTTCGTTATTCTATAAAATATTTGCTATTTCTAAAGCACTTTCATGAAGCAAAATTTTAAGGGGGTCGGAACGACCTCCCCTCCCTCCTTGACGTTTGAATGATGTATTCCTACTCCGGTGCAAACTCTTGTTCTGTAAAATTTCCACTGTCACACGCTATGATTTAACCGTCCCTTTTAATAATTTCGTAAAAAGTCCAAATGAATTTGTACAAACTCTCGGCTCAAAATCGACCAGAAATAGAATTAAGCGGTTCCCCGGGTTTCCGCAAACCCTATCTGGTTTAGTTAAATGCCTTTGCTAATTCGAATTCCAGTTCCAAAAAATATGAAAAGTTTCTGTGCGAGAAAGAACACATGAACAACTTCTTTTCATACCATGCACGGTTGAAATAGAAACGTTTGCGTGCATCGAGCGTCAGTAATGTTCAAGTTTGCCAATCAAAAACGCAAATGGCACGTTAAACACTAAGACATCCGTTAAAAGGAAAACAAACTGCGACCCATTTTCTCCTCGTACACAAATCACAAGAAGTAGTTTCATTTCGAATTCCACCTGCGGCGAAGCCACATTAAAAAAATAACTGCTAAGTTATATATAAAAAAAGACTGTTCAGTAGTGATGTTTGAATAAATTGAGCTTGTGTTTTATAGCAAACAATAAGGCAGAGAGAAACACTATGGCATCATTGAACAGGCCTAAAACCAATGTTGATACTAAAACAATATTGATACATGCGATAATTTTGGGTGAACCCTTAACAGCTTTTCAATTTACTAACAGTTTGATGGGAAAGAGGCACCTTTTCGAAACGGTAGAGATCGATTTGAATTGAAATCTGACATTAAAATAGAGTTTCAGGGAATCGAGGTTAGCTTTGAACAAATGCAATCGACCGATTAGAAAAATCGTTTAGATTTCCCTGTGACCTATTTGTTTGACTCGATTGTGATGTGTAGGTAAATTCGAAATGGATTGTAATACAAAAGCGAAGAGTTCATGTTATCAAAGTGCAATAAACGAACTGTATTTTTTTAAGATACAAATAAAGGTTTCCCCTTTTTATTTGTCGATCTCAGATTATCTTTTTCATACAAATGCAGGAACTGTTCTAAAGATTGAAATAAAAAATCGGCCTTAAAAAAATGTCATTGGCTTTATTTTTTAACAAAGAAAACAGAAGAAAAGCTAATAAATTAAAAACTCACGGCTTGACAGTTAAATGACAAAAAACAAGTGATCAGTTTTAATTAATAGTTTTCATATAAAACTGACTCTCTCATTGGCTAAAAAAATGCATCAGTAATCAGTAATTACAAAAGGTAATTACTTAAGCCGAAAGTATTGATGGCTTTTCCCATATGGAGAACCTGCATGTATTCGGAACTAATGACAGACCCCAATTCAGCCATGAACGAAACAATTTTATCAAAAACTGATCACGGCAATAATCTCACTCACATCGCATGTGTTGTTCCCAATGGAACCACAACTCAGGTTGCTGAAACTATGGTCTGTGCGCTTATCTTTCTAACATCTCTTATTGGCAACGCCTTGGTAGTCTCTGTGGTTTACAGAGAGCGGCGAATGAGAACCAGCGTGAATTTTTTGATCACCAACTTTGCTGTTTCTGATTTCTTGTCCTCCACTCTTGTCATTCCTAAACGTTTTGTGGAGATATTCTACTATAAAGATGCCTGGTTGATTGCAGGAACCTTGGGTGCCGTCTCATGCAAAACCGTTTACTTTTTACTAGACGTATCAGTAGCCGTGTCTTTGCTAAGCCTCTTGTATATTGCCATCGAACGCTACACCGCGATTTCTACACCGCTGCCAGCAGATACTACTCCTCGTAGACGATGCAAAGCAATGATTATATCTACTTGGCTGATAGCTTGTGTTATGTACTCAACATATTTTTACACTTTCAACTTCTTCGTCGAAAACGGACGTCCTTACTGCCATCAAAGTTGGAAGCCGCTTGTAAAAAATGACTTTGAAGCCCTGAAAATCGAACTTACAATCCGAACTACACTTTTGGTTTTCATTCCATTTGTAGTAATAGTTACCCTTTACTCGTCAATGCTTCTACGAATCAGGCGCACCTGCGTTCCATGCGATGCTAGTGACAGTTTAGGATCCATGGGACAAAAGCGTTGGCAAATTCGTAACAGAAAAGTCCTTCGCATGATGCTTACGGTCTTATTTGCTTACGGTTTCTGCTGGTTTCCTTGCCTGATTTACATATTCGTGGTAGTGTATGCTTGGGTTGACAAGAAACTAGAGCCACCTTGTCTTTTAGTGATTTTCGGAAAATATACCTTTTATTTGGCTTTTGCTAATCCATCCATAAATCCAATCATTTATTTCATGTTCAGCGAAAATTATAAAAACGGTCTGAAAAAGCTGATTGGCCAATGCCTGGGCCCACCGTCCTGTTATAGATTAAAGATCTCAAGAAACAGGCACCAGCCCGCTGAGATTAAGGGCACCACTTTGAAGCGAAAGAAAAGGCACCAAGGTAATCTGCAACATCAAGATATAGAGTTGCGAGTTCTCTGAAGCAAAAATATATACGAAATGTAACTTCTACATCAGATTCTTGGTCCTTCACTAAGACACATCTGGACAACACAACAATATTGTTCAAAAGCAACTGCCTGTCTTTCATCATTTTATTTAAGTTCCCTCAAAATATCTCTTCTTCTGTGCTCTCAGAATATATTGGAAGATATTTTCTAGCCAGTAATTGCTTTTCTAAAAGCAGTGAAGGTTTTTGTACATAAGTAAGATCTGTCATGAAATGCTTTTAGAGCAGGATAAAGTTACTTTAAAGTTACCAGAATACTGGGAAAGATGAAAGTATATGTCTGTGTCTAGTGTAGGTGGAAAATGATCGTCCAAGTGAGTGTGGTCTTGAAAAGGGTTGTTTTTCACAGTAATTGACGTTTCGACAAATCGTGCAATAGTCATCTTCAGAGTCTGATTGATCAACTGCTGAGAAGCTATATCTGATTGTAACCACACCAACAACGGAAACCACAAGAACATCAAGAACCACAGAAACAACAAGAACAACAGAAAACAAAAAAACACACACCAGCCACGGGAACCACGAGAACCACGGGACCAAGAAGAACCACTGGAAGACGACAACCAACCACGGGAGAACCTGGGGAACCACGTGTGAAGCAGGGAAACCTCAGTAACCACAAGAACCATTGAAACTACTGTATAAGCAAGAACCGCGAAAACCACAGAAACTGCAATAAACATGGAAGCCATGGGAACCAGTAAAAACCAGGGAAGAAACAGGAAACTCAAGAAAAAACGGCAACCAAAAGATCACCTAAAGGAAGTTATCATCGTCGATCAAGGTGTTTGCTTACTACGCTGTCGTCCACAAAATATCTAAACATGCCCTTCAGAATGGACTTAAACTTCTCAAAGCATTTGCCTCTCTTGGCAGATGAGATGGGCAGCAAAGTGGCACATGGTACTTATATCATGAAAAAAAAAATTCAGTCTGACTTAAAGTAGAATATCTATCAAAAGCGTCAGTTTTTAAATGCATTTTGGGGTACAGTGTTCACTGAGCTGCAACAAGTAGTGTGGGGAAGTACGAAAGAAGGTAGATCGTGTGTTTGATGTCTTACAACTGCAAATTCACTCTGCTCTTTCAAATAGGAAAAGCCAGATTTGTACGTGCCGACTATCAAAGTTTCACAAGTCTGTCTTCCTAATTGGACATGATAATTTGTTTGTTGTTGACGCAGTTACTGATTCTTCAAAGTCAAATCACAAGCACGAATTTCATTGCATTTTGGGGTACAGTATTCACTGAGCTGCAACAAGTAGTGTGGGGAAGTACGAAAGGAGGTAGATCGTGTGTTTGATGTCTTACAACTGCAAATTCACTCCGCTCTTTCAAATAGGAACAGCCAGATTTGTACATACCGACTATCAAAGTTTCACAAGTCTGTTTTCCTAATTGGACATGATAATTTGTTTGTTGTTGACGCAGTTACAGATTCTCCAAAGTCAAATCACAAGTACGAATTTCGATTCATTGCACAATGGAAATTCATGGCAAAGAAGTTGAGCTTAAAAATGCAATGTAATCACAGTAGATTTATTCAAGAGAATTATACGTGAGGAGGAAACCGATCAATAAACAGCGGTGCCACTCGTTGCTTAGGTGGACTCACATTTACTAGGAACTGTAATCCTCGACTGCCACTGAAGTCTGTGAACAGTGATCTGGTATTTTTCGTCGTCGACAGGTACGTTCCACCGTTGTTTTTGGCCTTATGGATTCCATAAGCCTAAATCTCACTCTTGCACAGCGGGGATCATGCAGTTGACAATGTCGATGCATTCCGCGCAGCAATACTTGACGAGTGCAAAGATTTATTGGACGTTGACTTTGGTAAAATCCCTGTGGCTTACAAGGTGAGGCTTGACTCTGACATTTGAACATCCCGTTTGTAAGGTCGGGTTTTTCCTAATGCCCTTTGGAATTACCTCTGGCTCTGAGGTCTTTTGGTATGCGGTGGAAAACCTGTCTGCTGGGTAGCCTGTGCAATCATTGTGGATGACCTGTTGGTATGGGGTGAATGAACACACGAGAACGGTGCAGGATTTAAAAGAGAATTCCTGCAAAGAGCACGAGAGAAATGCTACAAATTGTGTCCAAGGGAATGCGGATTTCGTTGTGTCATAAGTTGAACATTTTTTCACAAAAAACGACTGGCCTCAAACCTTATAACGGCAAAGTTACTATTATTAAAGATATGCCTGCCCCTAACAGGCCTTGGTATTTTCAATGACCTACCCAAGTTCATCAGCAATCTAAGAGAGAATAGTGCCCCCCTGCGTGAAATGCTACGGAGATATATCCACTGGAGCTGGGAAGCACCTTATCAAAAAGCGTTTGAGCCCCTAAAGTTGTACATTTCTAACCCCCAGTCCTTATTTCTTTATCTTGCAAAGGCTGTTGGATGTGGCATATGCCTCATAAACAGCACATACGGAAGCTAAAACCCGATATGCACAGATCGAGAAGGGAGGTAAGACATTATTGAAACTGATCAGAAACCTCTCACTGCAATCGTGAACAAGCCTCTTCACATCGAACCTGCTTGCCTTCAACGAATGCTGTTGCTGCTGCTGAGGTACAATTTGAAGTTCACTTACAAGAAAGGAACCGAATTGTAAGTGGCAGACACATTGTTGCTTGCCAACGAAAAAAAGAAGTCGGGTACTGAAAGTGATTATTTGATTGACATATTGTCTTTCACCCCAATCTCACCCAAAAGTGTGTCTGAACTCCAAAGACACACTTAACCTGATGCTGTCATCCAAAACTGGGTGGCTCGTTATATTTCTCATGAATGGCAAGCTCAAGAGTGTACCCACATAGTAAAACCATATTTCCCTGCGAGAAAGAGCTGATCGTGGATCATGGTATCATTTCGAAAGGCTTGAGAGCTGTGGTCCATACGTAGAGAGAAGCCCAACAACTGCCAAGGGACATCCTGGATCAGGTGCAACGAAGAAGAGAAGAACATTATGAAACCAGTTCGATAGATGCTGGCCTCCAATTGGGCTCAATCAGAGACAAGCTTTCGAGTGAGTCGTGTAACTGGTTCTTTAAGAGTAGCATCCCAGGCGCTATCTCGCCCGTTCTTGAAAACTTTCACCGCCGTTTATCCCTACCCAACTGACCGCGCCTGGGTCTCCGAGGATGAAAAGAACCATGAGGACCACATGAGCCACAAGAATCTCAACCACAAAAAGAAGCAAGTACCTTAGATCGAAACAGCAGTAGAAACACTCTTGCAAAAAGTAGCACAGTTTACAAAGTGCCAAGCCCGAGGGTCCATCTATGAGCCAGTAGACAGCGTACAGGTCTGTGAGGATGCGTGGGATTGTGAAAATTGGAAACAGGAGGTCAGACATAGCCATGTTGACATCAATGAGATAGTCAACTGTTCTGCCCATCGATTTCGTCTCGAAGACTATGGCTCCGATGAAGCAGTTCCCTATGAGCGCAACGACTATTATCACGCCGTGCGCAAAAGTTTTAGCGATTCGTATGACATCAGGATTCCCAGGGCAGGTCAGAAAAGCAGGGTTCTGTTCTAGAGTGATTTAAAGGGACCCAGTAAGCTGATACACATGCGCAGTAGATACCATTTCTTAGCTGATTTGCATGACACAAGACACGCGAGTGAAACAGCAAGTGAGAAGGTGTATGCGGAATACTCTAAACAAACCTTAAGGTGTTGAACTAATTAAAAGCCCAAGTCGTTATTATAAACCCTAATCCATTTCAGAGTAATCATTTTTATATACCACGAGAATTTACCGATGGATATGCAAAATGTATTATTTTCAGATTACGCCATGAAAATGACTGTTGGGGCTCCCGTTTATTTCTCCATAGTATTGTTAAGGTAAAAGTCAAAGAAGTCAAATTAAACGGGGAATTGCAAAATATGTTTTCTTATGACATTATCAAACGTTTACTCCTCGACCCAGTCTCACTCTCAACTGGAAACGTTATAGTTCACTCAAAACAAATAATTTTGAAAAACCTCCGTAATTCCATAAACCTTGTGGTAAAAGTCATTGAAAGAAAACAAAATAAATCACAACTAGCATTTGTAAAATGTCGTAAAATTGGACCCAACCAAATGCCAAATAATGGGCGTGACAAGTCAGGTCACCAAGATAGCTCATTAATGACAATGGATAAGAACATTTTGTAAGAAGTATTTACCGTATGCAAAGTTTCAAGTCGAAAAGTTAAATCTCCTTTAGACTAGAGAACCCCCTTACAAATTTTAAGAGGCCCATTGCTTAATTCACCCGAGCGCGCGTTGTCCGAAGGGTTTGGCGTATGTTCTGTGGTAATTTGTAATCAAAGAGTTGTAATTTGTAATAACGCTTTGTCTTACCAAGATCATTCTCTCTTGGTCTTACCTATTCCATTTACATAAACTATTTCTCCCTCTCCTGTACTGTGTTGCCTTCAGTAATCCCTTTTGACCGTCTTCAAAAATTACCTTACCAAAGACTTTCCAGTATCTGTTTTGTAAAATATGTTCTGTGCGATGTTAACTCATGCACAAGCTCTTCATCATCGCTGGGGACGAAAAGGTGCCACGTGCACTTGTCAGATATTAAAATGCCGACCCAAACACGCTATGGAAGTACATGTGGTGATTGTTAAAATTCGGTAGTGTTTTAATTTAATGTCCATCTCAGTATCGAATCTTTTCTGTCTCAGCCAATGAGAGGAACTTTGCGTCCTTTCAAACGAGAATATCTTGACATTATATATACGTTTTGCTGATAAGGTCTCTTCTTTTAATTGACCGTTTATTTTTCTGCTTTTCCTATAACAATGATCATCTCTTACTTTTACAGTTTATTTCAAATTTCGAGAAATTTATTTCAAGTTGCGAAGCTTAAACTATTTGAAATTACACAACCCAGTGTTATAACAAATAGGACGGCCTGTTTACTAAAAATCGTGACAAGTATTACAAATTACAGCACTAAATTATTACGAATTTCGACAACATTAAAAAAGCAAAGTGCAACAGAACGTCGATTGTCAGACTTGATAACTTGCCTTTGAATCAAAAAAGATTATGTTACATTTCTAAAAGACTAGATTAAGGGGACTAACAAATTAAGGACAACAAATGAACTCGCCAGAAACCCAAACACAAAGTGTCAACAACATTTTTGAGTTCGCGCACTAGCATAAAACTGTAAACTGCCCATTCAGTTTGGAACGTTTGCGTAGTTTTCGCACTATTTTAAGCTTTTTGTTCACTTGATAAACAAAACTGATTTTTTTGTCATATTTTTCAGAGGAATGGTTACATAAGAGCAAACAATTTAAAATATGCGTGTGCTGTGATTACAAAAATACGAGGTCTCCAACCTCATACAAAGAAGCTATATATAAATGTCCTTCTATATTTTTTGTTTCCAAAAAAGGGACGGACCCTCAAATCAGTAGACAAAAATTGAAAGGCAGAACATTTAAGAAGAAGTCTTCAAAGTGGAAACCGTTCATAAATTTTGCATTAATACACAATCTTAATTACAAATCCAATTTGTAAGGAATCGATAGAACTAATATTGGCTTAGTTAAATAAACACAGTGACATGTCAAGAGCTGATTTCCCTTATGCTCATCTCTGTGGTCATTCAAACTACAACTTAAATTGGCCAACGCTATTGAAAGCAACACTCCTTTTTGGTCAGTATGTCAAACCTTACTGACAACAGGACCCTGCCGTTTCTAAACTGTCCTGGGAATCCTGATGTCATACGAATCGCTAAAACCTTCGCGTACGGCGTGATAATATTCGTTGCGCTCACAGGGAACTGCTTCATCGGAGCCATAGTCTTCAAGACGAAATCGATGCGCAGAACAATTAACTATCTCATTGTAAACATGGCTATGTCTGACCTCCTGCTTCCAATTTTCGCATTCCCACGCATCCTCACAGAACTGTACGCTGGTTATTGGCTCATAGATGGACCCACGGGCTTAGCACTTTGCAAACTATGCTTCTTTTTGCAGGATGTTTCTACTGCCGTTTCGATCCAAAGCCTGGTTTTGATAGCCGTAGATCGATTTGGAGCTGTGGTTTTTCCCTTTAGGCCTCCAGTCGTCAGCTCAAAGCTTTGCCCATACTTCATTTTCTCTACCTGGACCGTTGCCATGGCCATCCATTGTCCCTACTTTTTTGCCCGTAAACTGGTGAAGATTCAAGGAAAACTGTCCTGCGAGTTGCTGTGGAATGACGCCTTTGGAATGTCATCATCACTGAAAAATTACTACATCGCCATGTTTATTATTCTGGCTGTCATCCCATTCACTCTCATGGCAATACTTTACTCCATCATCATTTGTAGCCTTAGGTCTCAAAAGATGCCAGGTGGAGAATCAGTGAACGCTAAGGAACAGGAAAAGCGAGTGAGAAGGGACAGAAACGTTCTCAAGATGGTCATTGCCATTGTTTTAGGGTTTGCTTTATGCTGGGCACCTTTTAACGTCCAAGCTTTTTTAACATTCTTTGTGTGGGACAAAAACCCTGCACCAAGTTGTGGTTTTAGAGCCTTCGGCTTTTTTGCTCTATTCATGGCCTACGCAAACTGCGCCATAAACCCATGCATTTGCTTTACCTTTAGTGGCAATTACCGCAAAGGCTTCAAGAGCTTTTTTGAGTGCTGCTCGAACAAGTGTGATTGTGGATGTTTTGGTTCCATGCGTAGCCACTCATGGAATCTCCAAACATGGAGCTCAAAGGAAGATGGGCAAAATGTCACACTTTCTTCCCTTGCCTAGCGTATCACCTCCAAAATCGGAGAGAGAATACAAACTTTCCAATAAGACACAGATCACATAAATACATTTAAAGCAAGGTACAAAATAGACAATGCTTCTTTGTAGGAAATACATTGATGGTATAATTGTTTGCATCGGAATGTTCATACCTTTTCAGTTTACCTCCACAAATATATTTTTCAAGAAAAAGAAAAAGATTTAATAGATGCTCCATAAGCAAGAGCTAGTAAATCGTAAAAGTATAGCACCGCCCGTAAATGATGCGAAAAAGAGTTGTAGCTTTAAGGTGCGTACGTTTTGCAAATATACAATGCAAACATCCACGTAAATGACAGAAGCATTTTGAGGTTGTTTCACAGTTGCGTAAGCGTTTTGTTCAGGTGACACTTTCTCTATAACCACTTTCATTCCATTTGACAGCTTATGAATTATTTGGAATACTTTGTTTGCTTCTTCTTTGTAAATAATATAATCGAACGTGGTACGTTGTTTTGCTTGACGATGATTAAATAATGAAAGGCAAAGTTTGAGTAAATATGTAAACCTTGATACACGGGGCGGAGATACAAATATGCAGTCAAAATCATTGTGCGGTCACTGGTTTCAAATTTTGAATAAACATCTTAATTGTTTGCGTGTAACCGTTCAATACCTTCACTCTGTTCATACAGACCGAAAAATGTAAGATGAATTTCAACTTTTGCCAGGGGTTTCACCATGTGCTTAAGAGAAGAGCGTTACTTTATCCAAATCCACACTGGAGTATTCGGGCTAAGTTATCACGCACCCATGAACCCATGCCTTTGACGCCCAAAAATATGGACGGTCAGGTAAAAAATTCGACCTCGACTTTGAGGGTTGAATTGTTTAAAGGCGGGGTGTCTTAATTTCAGTTTTCACACGGTAAGCGTGCATTGGTGTGAACGGTACATCTTAGCAGGTGAATTTTCAACAGGCCGAAGTTTGTCCGTTCTTTCTTAGGAAAACTTAAAACACTAATGGCGTCTTGGTTGGAAAATTGAACGAAAAAAATAAATCGAGGGGAAGTAAATTCGCGTTAAAGTTATCGCTCTGACATTACAGGCTATTGGCTGTTTCCGAAGATCACTTTTCACAAAAAAAATTAATTTCCTTTTTCATTCCAGGCAAATATTTGAGTTTCAGTAAGGTCATGAATACATTAAAACAATCTGGGATGACAGATTTTAATCGATAATTCAATCTTGTGCTAATAGCAATAAAGACTGATTACTAAGATTGATAACCGAACATTGACAATGTTTGACATTTTGCTTCTACTGGGCGTCCTATTCACTGTAGTAAAAACATTATAATTTCACATATAGATTTGATTATAGAAAACTCTTAACCTTTACTGATATCCATTTCATCATTTCGATTATCAGATGATCTCTCCGTTTCAAAGAAAAAAAACATAGTGTTTAATATATCAAACGCTTCTATTTGGACAAAACCTCATCAGAGGTTACCTGGGAACCGGAACAATAAAGTCTTTGCTAACTTCACATTAAAGTAAACTACGTACTTTTGTAACATGATAAATCCGATTCTATCCCCTGAGAATCGTTAACCTTAGAATCCTCTGAAGATCGTCTCCTTTTGTACCCCAGCTTGTACGTTGCCGCATCATCATAGATTTATCATGATGGCTATCTCTGTTCCGGAGACCAACCAGTTATTCTTTATAATTAGCGCTAACAAAATCACTACTATCTAAATCATTATCCGGCAGATACGTACAGTCGAACCTCCACTGACGGTCACCTCTCTACAACGGACACTTTCTTCTTTCCCTAAGGGGGCCGATGTGGAGAGGTTCAAACGTAATTGGGAAACTGCTGATAGTCTTATTCATCCTTAGAACAATTGCAGCGTGTAGGTTTTTTTAGTTATTGTCGTTACTGGCTTTAAAATGAATCATTAAAGCCGCTACAGAGCATAATGGATTTGAATTTTAAGCTACTACGGGAAAACTGTACGTGACATGATTTCGGTGTATCTTAGGTTTTTACCATCACCGAATGGCGATCCTGCAAAGTTAACATAACTACTGTGAAACGATATAGCAACTGAGTAAAGAAACAAAAATAGCATTTTTGCTTTGCGTTGTTTATTGTTTTTAGAAAGTAAAAATGAACGAAAGCATCGAATTGAACTCGTTGAAAGTGTTCGCTGCCCGGAATACGTTAATGCAGAGTTTTGTGCAGTTGTCCGCGTAAAACGTCTCCACCGTCATGCCGATCAGGGGAGCTTGAAATGTAATGTAATTTGTTTCTTTTTTTATACTGTACTTTATAAAGACTAGCACAGCTAACTTGACTGTAATATTCTCCGGCTGCAACATAAAACGGACAGAGATGGAGTATATAGCCCGAACGCGTTTTTTTCCATTTTAATTCATTTTTCAAAATTACTTACACTACCAATGATCTTAGACGTTTGGATCTGGGTTCTTCCCGAGGACTCTCTTTAACCGTTTGGGACGAAGCTGTTGTTATATTGAAACACTGATATATGCATAAATTACCCCACTGCATAAGTATTTAATTTCACCTTGTTTGAAATGAGCAGGGATTTTAAAGTTCAAAGAAACAGCTGAGGGTTCAGCTCTAAGACACGAACTGTAAGTTTACAGCGGAATGGCCTAAGTAATAGTAAGTAAGTAGTAGCTTAAAATGTGAAACGCAGGTGATTTTCCTGGAGTGGAATTCTTGGCGATCGCAAGCAAGTTTAGAACGTGATCCGTCGTCGTGTGTTCCCGTCCTTCAGAACACGTCGCATAAGGACTTTCACGTCATGATCGCCGCAGTGACGTGCAAAATTGTTGTTTTGCTCGCTAAACCTATTGCTATTGACAAGAGATAGTCGCCGCCGTCGTTGCTAAAACTCCCTAGTGCATCTTAAGGTCCATAATAAAAAAAAGGACAATAAGCGAACAGTGGACCCAGATAGCGGACGGTGGCATTATTTCCCTATTAGTACTGCTGTGAACGTCCGCCCATCATTTTACCAGGGGCACCCAACGACAATTTTTAAAATATCTGTTCGGAAGACGATTTGAGATCTAGAATTTTTTGGGAATATTTGTTGTTAAATTTCTTGCTTGCCTGCCTCTCCTAGGATTTTCGACCCCCCACCCCCCTAAAATGGTATAATTGCTCACCTAGAATTTTCGGGAGCCTTTTTTTCTGGCTGAAATTTTCGAAAAGGTAAGTTTTGATCCCTATAATTTTCGGATCACTAGACTTTCAGCTAGGAAATCCGAACAGATGAAAAATTTTTAGGGGATAAAACTATGCCTATATCTACCCTTTTAAATACTAGAATATGTTCAACAATGCTATGTTTAAGTGGTTTTGAACTACATTCTCGTTGGGTGCCCCTGTTTTACTACTAGAAATGGCTAGTGATCGAACACTTCCTCGGCGATAGTAGCTTGACTTTCGCACCTTGATCGTTTGGAGGTCACTTGGATTCCGGTTGTATTAGATGTTGTTTTGTGCAGTCTGTTCAAAGAAATCGTTGTCAGCTCAAACGTTTCTCGACGTGCTGTTAACCTGTTTCCAGCGCCACGAACGCTTGTATACAACTTCGAGACAGAAAGCGTTTTTCGCAGAATGCGCCGGTAGTGTTCCACGAATACAAAATACACTAATGGGTTAATGGCGGTGTTTGCGTATGCGAGAAAGACAGCTGTAAATTGAAAATTGCTCGTATTGCAGAAGGGTACTTTCCAGTTCCACACGAATATCAGAACAAACATGTAAATATTGAATGGAGCCCAGCAAATGGCAAATACTGCGACGATTGTAAGTGCCATTTTCAGCACGTTTCGGTTCATCCTGTCGCGGATAACCCCGCCACGAACGGCGTGCTTTAATGCATTTCTCTCTCGCACCAGGGTCCAGACTATGATAGAGTATATCACTGATAGTAATGAAAATGGGATAAGGATAAGAAACACACACAGGAAAGTAGCGTAAATTTTGCTGCTCCTGGGTTCCGCAAACGCCGGTGCCCAGCTTAGTACACAGTGCGCTTCCATTCCCGTTTCCGCCAGTTTGAAGATGTAAAAATATGGCGCGTGCAATGCAGAACCGACAATCCACGTCAAAACGATCAGTACAACTCGCATTCTAGATGTTAACATGCTGATGCGAAGGGGAAACACAACAGCCATGAATCTCTCCAATGCTATCAGAACGAGTGTTTGAATGGAAACGGCCGTTGCTACATCTTGCGCAAAAAAGATCGCCTTACATGAAATCTGCCCCGCCAAACCAGTCAAGAGCCATTTCGATTCGGTATCCATCAAGATTGCGACTATTTTCCTAGGACACACGAAAACCGGCACGAATAAATCAGATGCTGCCATGTTCAAGATCAGAAAGTTAACGTTTCGTTGTACGCGCTTGGATTTAAAGACCACAGAAATCACGATTATATTCCCTAACAAAGCAGTCAGAAGCAGAACGATATAAGCTGAAACTTTACCAACTTTTTCTTCACTTGTTACCACATGCGGTGAGCATCCTTGCCTGGCCATAAATTCATACGTATGGTTACTTATATTGTAACTCTCCTCCATATTAGAATATTCTATACGTTTCCACCTTGCCAGCACATCTGAAAATAAATTTGATAGACGGGGTTGTCTCGATAAAATAATCTCAATTTTCCAATAGAATTCGAAATCTGATATTTATGAACATTGAACCGTTTGCTCATGATATCTCTCAGGGTATAATATTTCCAAGGTCAGTCCTTTCAAAAACTCTCATGTCAAGATGTTTTATGAGTTTCGCTGTTGTATGAGTACATGGTCAACAACAGATGGCAACTACAACCTCACCATGTTTCCGTTTTGTTCGCCTTATCAACTGTAAGGAAATTATAAGACTACCGATTTCTCTGTTATAAAGGTAGATCACAAATGATCGACTCGCACGTGAAATTAACTTTGTCAGTCTATACATATGACATCATGTTATTGTCAACAATAATATTAAAAATGAAGATATTTTGACAACTTCGACAAGACAACCGAACTTCTGGAGTGTTTGATAACATTCACCCTGTACTTACTGCAAGTTATTCCTTTTCCTGCCGGTAATTGCTTTATGGACTATATAAACAAACTAATAATGAAATTGTTGCATTTCAAATAAAAGACTTCCTTAGTTTATTGAAGGACCCCTTATGAATAATCAATTTTTATTTATTGCTTAATTTCACAGCCAGGTGTGGCCCCTGAAATGTTTATAAAACGTGCGCCCTATGAGAAATTTCACAGTTAATATCGGATCTGTTTATGGACCTCAACGAAATCGTCTTTCGATCACTCTAAATAAGAAACATCATATCTGGTAGGAGCACCTGGGATGCATTAAGAACTCGTCTTTTATTATAAACTTAAGAGACCAAATGCCTAAAAAAATTAAACAAGCCTCCTCACAACCTGGAGCACCACGAGAAAAGCATTTTGAATTTCCTAGTTCACATATCTTAGCTGTAGATCCTAAAAATTTCAAACACCTCTATAAGATCAACGAACAGCAAAACCTTTGCCGGAAAAGGGACATTATCCTCGTGTTGACAACAACAAGGGAAAAGAACGCGCGAAACAGCAAAGTCTTTAAGTATGGAAAGGAAAAATGCCAAGGAACGGGAAATAAAATGAATTGCACACCGTGACCAGCACATTCTTGCAGCAGTGACAAAAAGAAAAAGTCCAGTTGAAGGGCAGTATTGAACCAAGCATGCCCTAAGAAAGCCATTATTTCACACCTAACGCTTTTTGTATTTTTCCTGTCGCGTATTTTATCCACTCTGCTGAACCAAATCTTTCGTTGATGCAGCTAAAGTGAAGGGTATAGACGAGAAAAAAATGCTAGGGGAACTACTGCTTTTGGGTGAAATTTAGCGTTGGTTTTTTCATCCTCTTAGCCGATGGTGATTTTTGTAGTCTTTTAATTTCGTATAAACGTCAAGTGGAAAACATGATTGGGGTGCGAACTCTGCTTTCTGCTAAGTGAGATGTTTCTGCCGGAAAAATGTTTACTGACATAATATCCCCACATATTTGCAAGACACAAAACCTCATTTATTCTATGTTCAGTATAGCTTATGAGTTTTCCACGTGTGAGCAGATCTTCCATCTCATGGAACACAATACTGTCTTCCGTCCTAACTGAACACTGGTACTTCAAATTTTACATAAAACGAAAACGTAAAAACGATCAAACAAACCCTGACAAAACAGCTGAATTACCTATTCCATAAAATGTTAGTAAGAAGTTATTCATTTAAAGCGTAGGTCAAGACCCTTTATAAGTTTTTCGTTGAGTGCCAGACGTTTCTAGAAGGAGCCAAACGCATCAGGTCGAAGTCGTTTAGGAGATTTTTTTCTTCCCTCCTACACTTGTTCCTCTTTTTGGCATTCTTCGCTTTATCTTTCTTTTGCACATCAGGGCTTGCGGACCTACACAAGGTTTAGTCAGGACTCGCTCGTGAAGACTGAGCTGGCTCCCAAGCTAAAATGCAAAAGGAAACAGGCAAATCGTTGATGAATATTTGGTCCTTTTATTCTCTCGTTCACGTAAGGTAATCCAGACGTACTTAATCGATAAGCCGATAATCGATATCAATCGATAGTAATCGATGTTTAATATCGATTTGCGATATCATCGATGGAAATCGATAAAGGAAAAAAGTTGTGACCTCGATTAATATCGATGATTTTCCGAAAGAAATCGATAATGATTTTTTATCGATTACTATCGAGTCCTATTGTTTGTTATCGAATTTGCAAATCGATAATAATCGATAATTTTTTTTTTTTGTGACTTCGATTTCTATCGATTTCCGATATCATTCGATATTAATTCGGCGGATTAAATCGATTAATAACGATGATATCGAGTGATTTCCGATATCGATTTTTATCGATTAACTACGTCTGGGGTAATCCAAGAGAGTCTTGGATAATCGATTCCGCGCTGTAGCTTCCGGATTTTTCAAGTACTGGATTCTGGATTTGATCTTGTCAGGAGCCCGGTTATGGCCTCCTGTCTTGTCAACGGAACTTGGATTTAAATCGTTAACATACAGCGGGATGCGGGATTCCTTGAGCTAGATTGCGGATTTCAAAGCCCAGGATCCCGCACTCCGCAATATAAAATTTCCCGGATTAAGAAAATTCAGATTACCTTCAAATGACTCGAACCCATATCCTTTGGGACTACAGGTACATACCCAATATGGCTAATACAGAGGATTACCCCTGGAGAGAATACAAGGTTGGGAGGGGTGGGGGGGGGGCAAAAATACCTCCTCTGGAAGTTTGCAAGGAACCGATTGCTTTTGTTTGACTTCACTGCACCAACGTTTCGAATGAAATTCACACCTTGTTTAAAAATTACTCAAACAAAACGATGTGAAAAGATAATAGTTTACTCATCCAAGTCCTTAAAGACAGGGTAAAACGAAATGGTTGCAAACTCAATTAATACAAGTCTTCTACTAAACATTAAAAAAAGGGATCTTAAAAGACTCTTGAAATCAGTGCCACGGGGGGAGGGGGGGGAATCTGCACATTGAATAATGCAATACATTGCATTGAATAATGCAATACACTGAAATATACAGTTTTCTTAAATGCAAGGAAGAGGCTTTGTGTTTTCATGAGTACACTGTTGAAAAGTTAGTATAATGTTAACGGAATTAACTGGAATTGAACGAAATATTTTAAGTCAAAGCCGAGTCTACCGCTGTCTCAAATACTGTAAACATCTTATTTAGCATACTCGGATCGGTTCAGAACGAGTTATTCATTTTTAGACTGAATCCTTACCGAAGCTGAAGGCTAATGATGCACTGTACAAAGTCTTTCTTTTCGTCAGCAGAGTAAATGAATGCTACGCCTAAAAGTCATGTTACTAAACATGTTACTAAATAATGCCATTGTTATGGGCGCTAGCTACAAGGTAAGAAAGCTGTTGAACTGATCAAAAATACCTTGCTCAAAAGACGTCTTGACTTTAAGCCGTGAACGTGATGAACTTTTCCTGCTTTTCCACCATGTTCACCAATGCCAACCAAAGCTACAGACTCCGTAGTCAGACAGGCTGCTATACAGAGCAGGATCGCCAAACGAAGCAAACCCATTTTGTTCATTGCCACCACCAAAAGCGTTTACAGCCCTTACGTGGTGATTAAAATATTTGTGATATGCAGTCAAAGTTAACAGCGATTATGTTTTAATTCAAGAGTGTCATTAGTTTGTTTAACCCTCTTGCTGCAGTTATATTGTAGGCTCAAAAATCTTGGTATCTCCACTTATCCAAAAATAATTAAAGATAAAATCCATTCCGAAATGCTCGTGGCATTTAATCAAGTTAAAAACCGTCGGTAGGGGCTCACTTTAAAGCGAACCAGTGCAGCTATCTAACCTCGTCCACAGGGCGCTTTTCCCTGGCCTTTTTTCGCCCCACCTCCAAAGCCAGTAAAAAGCCCTGGGGACGAGGTTGGGTATACCCTAACATAACAGAATTACTAAAGCATCACTTGCGGTTAAATCAATTTAGTTCCTATCGGCCCAGTCCCAGGTTTGTTCCTTGCGCACTTCAATGGCAATAAGATAGCCGTCGCTGACCGCCGCTGACCGTGAAAGACTGAGAACTAAACTCAACTTGGTCATTCAGAAATCCATCAGCGAAAGGTACGCGAGGCTCACATAGCCTGCGTGGCAGGCGCAAAAAGTGGAGGGGAGGGGGAGGGAGAAAAGCGAGGAAAAGGGAAGTGAACATCTGCTGTAAATAATTCGATAACGTCAACTATCAATACGTGACCAATCACAAGTAGGAAGCGCTTCTCAGCATTCTCCAAATGTTACAATTACTTTGTTTATACCGGTCAAATCGAAACGCTTTTTTCAAATGATATCATAATCGAGCAAAATAAAACCTTCTTATTGTTGTGTTCAGCAAACACAACAAACAATAATCAGTCTCGTGCAAGAGCCATCATGAGATTATGGCTCTTGGTTTCGTTTGAATAAACAAAACCTTTGGTTTTCAATCAAGCATAGTGGTTGCAAAGAACAAAACAGTCGCCAGCCTGAGCCGCGAATAATGTATGAACGGAATTATGACAAAATGACAAAAAGCACAAATTGAGTAGCTTTTACCGAAGCTTGACTATCAACTCTCTCTTTACAAACCATATTAGAGGTTCCTTCAAGGCGGTATATGATTTTACGGAAAAGTCGGGTGTCCAGGGGCCCGTTTCTCGAAAGTCCCGATAATTAACGGGCCCGGTAAGCTGTCTAGGTTTCCATTAAAGATCGAGGTTTCAATAGTTTTGCATCTAACAAGATAAAACTATCAGTTAACGAAACAAAATGCAGTAGTTTGCTAGCCAGGACCCGCGCTCTTATTCTTTTTATTTCGATTTGAATATTAAATTTCGGGCCCGAAAAGTTAACGGGACTTTCGAGAAACGGGCCCCAGCTTCTAAAATTCTCCGCCGAATAATAATCCGGTGAATATCGGCATTTCAGGTGCTTGGCAAAAATCGTCTCAAATCTCCGCTTAGTGTTTGGACAAATCCAGTGAACAAAACCTCCTGAGCATCTCTACCCGGCTAAACAAGCTATTACATAGTTCGGGTTTCAACGTGACGTTGCTAAATTTTGATCTTCCAAAGCTCATGCTAGTAGAACACATTTCCTTGATGCCTACATCATGGTTGTTTCTCACTTATGCAGGTCAATACGTTACTTATTACGGCTCAGCCAATGAAGAATTTGCGGACGCCAGTCTCGACAGAAATGAGGAGGTTCTTATTAACAGGCACCCCTTAATCTCTCTCCCCAATCCCCCTTCCTTTCTCCCTTTTTTCTTGCCACCGATCCCTTACCCCTTTCGACGCCTGCTACGCAGGCTAGGATCACATTATTGATAGAGCGATGGCACTAGAGCCTCGTGGTAAAAATTAATTGACATGATGAACGGCTTAACTAGTGGTATGTGACCCTTTTCTAAGCCTATCATTATCTAGTAGCTACCTCGTATTAGGCCGGTCCCGATAAATTGCCCCTTACAGCTAGCCATTCACTTGGTACAAAACCGCCGTGCTGCAGAGCAAACGTCGCTCTGGGACAAGACAAATTAAACAAAGAAAATTACAATTTACCTAATGCCTTTTGTTTGTCTTGTCCCAGTGCGACTATTGCTCTCCAGCATGGCGAGTTTGTACCACGTGAATGGTTAGCTGCAAAGGGCCCATTGTGCTCTTAACTGAAAAGTTGCTCACTAAAATGCCAAAAAGTTGCTGCCTAAATATCTTACTTTATTTTTCGTTCTTCACAGATTGCAAACGTTGGTCAAGAAAAATAGCGTGAAACTTAGATTTAAACAGTTGACCATCAAGAGAGCGGATAGAAAGAGTAGGAAGCAACTAGAGTAAAACGTGACTTCTCGTTGCTTCAGCTTGGACTGCGCAAATCTCGCACATGCGCAGGTCGTGACACAGCTCCTTAAAATAATTGTGACCCTCCACAGGAATTTGATGCTAAAGGTGAAAGCACACTCACGACACGCTTGCACGACACGCTTAGCTTGCCGTAGATCACGGATATGCGCCTATTAAATTGAAAAAACAAAGACGGACACACTTGCCTTTGTTTTGGTAAAATTTGACACGCTAGACCTTTTGTTTTTTGTAGCGTGCCATATGTCGCGGTAAGTGTGCGAATTACAGCACGCTTAGCGTGCAATTTGGGTAAGACACGCTGAACTTGATTACTAAAACTGCTAAGATGATAAAAATGGCTTGAGTTTTCAGCGGATTTAATCAGTATTGATAACTGGTCGAAGTAAATCAAATATACCAATTGAGACTCTCGATAGTTACCAAAAAAGGGTGCCGTTCATAATCATTTACCGTTCCTTTTTGTAGAGGAAATTTATTTAGCTTATAGATAACACGCCTTGCGTGCTTTTGCGCACACTGAAAGCGTGTTGTGCTTTTTCGCACGGAGCTTTTGTTTGAAAACTTTAACACGCTCTTTTGTTCAACTTGCTCACGCTTAATTGTCTCAAGTATGTCCTCTGAAACAAAAGAAATTGCTAATGAGGCAAGATTGGAAGCTTGCTAAAGCGTGTTAAAATGAATTCTTTTGTTTTAAAGTGAAAGCGTGTCGTGCGCGTGCTTTCACCTTTTGCATTAAAATCCTGTGAAGGGTCAAATGTTGGTGATTGCGACGGGGAGCTTAGCCAGTGTTCTGAATGTTGTCAACTTGTCAAATGTAAACGAAACGAGAATCAAAAACTGCAAGAGCATAATCTGGACAGGCCTACCTGGTACCCCTGCAGGCGCGTTCAGGCGGATTCGTCACCATTCTCGTACCCAGAATACCCAGAGCATTCTGGCTTCTAGGTACCAGACTGATTCGTCACGGTAATCGAGAGCGAGTGGAGCGAATAGGGGTCTTTCAGCGTCCTTTGCGCTGATTGACATGGCCAATTGCGCGATACTCCGGATCGTTCGCAGTTGCGTTTTCTACCAAACACTTGAGACGCCTGGGAACGAGGCAGATCGGCGTAGGACCCTTGTAGTTGTGTTCATTTTCAGTCATTTTTCCAGTGTAAAAAGGTTTGCCTCGTAAGCACGAACGCAGTATCGGCAAAATACTCTTTGTCATTTTCTTTTAAAATAATATTTTTCGTTCCAATCTTCTCGCCGTAATAATCAGTTAACTGTTATCTTCTAATTAGTATTCAGTGTATGTCACTGATCTGTCCTTTCAGCCCGGGAGTTGGGGAGCTCTCGAATGAAATTGACGAGGATGCTTGTGGGAAAATTATTAGAATGAAGCCCCTGAATTTGACCAATCTGGACATGGCTAAACCACACAGGGTCCTGTTTGAACTCTTATACCACTACATGAGAAATTTCTGCAATTTGATTGGCCTAGAGCAGTGGTATTTCAGCTTAATTTGAAATACCTACATGTGAAAATTACAAACCTTTTGCGGGTAGTAGTATAAACAAATAATAGCATAATTTGTACGTGATATTTGGCATAAATACCACTCATGATATTTCAAAATTGTCTCAAATTTTACTCGCCTAACGGCTCGGGAAATTACGTATAACAATTTCGAAATATCACGCGTGGTATTTATGCCAAATATCACTACAAATCATGCTATTACCTACACTAAGCCATTATTCCGCGCACAAGACCGGAAGTCAATAACATAGCACCAAATCGAGGCCATTACGTGGCGCAGTTGCGCAATAGCTCCAACATACGGGAAACAGTGCCGGAAAGCCGTACGCGTGTAAAATTTTGTGGAACTGATCCTTACAAAATTCCAATATTGTGAGGACTTTAAACTAGGATTTTCAAAGTTTTAGGTACGTATAAAGGTGTTACAGCCATGATCTCCCCTTTGGTAATGTTTTGCATGCAACTGCCACTATTATCTGACGTGAAAATGTCTCTGTGTGTTATAATTTACCGGCTAGTCGCAGTCGGTTTTGAAACTATTACGTGTCTCAATGAAAAATGTGCCGGCTTTTAATACAGTGGTTTAGCGTTGCAGTAGAATTCTACTTGTAAAATATCACTTTGTAAACCTGTCCACGTTGGCACATCCGTATTGTACAGCTGGGCTCTTTCTTAGAATAGATTGAAATTTTGTAACGTAATTTTAAAGAACGTCATCAATTCCACTGCTAATAAAATGCTGGATGACATTATTATGCTATTTTATTCGTTTGGTTTGCGTTGGTTATACACTTCTCTTGGACGATATTTTCGTTTAACATTACCAAAATGGTTATCAAAATGAAGGAAAACGTTGAAAGTGACTTTAATCAAGTGAGATTTAACCTGTAAGTTCGCTACATTGAAACCACTTGTTGTTAAGATAAATTTTATTTGGTATCAACATTGTTCTTGTCAATGTTTGTAGGTTTATAGCAAAAATGTTTGTCTGGGATTGGTTTACGGGAATGTTAAACTATTTAGGTAAGTCCTGGTAGATAAGTGTATACAACATACTATCAAAGCTGGTTATGCTTTATTATGTAAGCTTGAAGCTGAGATACCATACATGTAATGCACTTGTAGATAATTAACAACTTTAGAGCACAGTTAATTCAGACTGTATGGCGAATTAGATTTTATGGTCCATCTTGTTTGAGTTATTGTCATGTACCTGTAGTTTTGTTAAAAGAATTGAGTTAAACCCATGTAACATGTTGCCATACAGTTTGTAACAAATCTAGGACATGTATAACCATGATAAAAATATTGGCATGACTTCAAGCATTATAGATACAAATCCTAATTCTTAGTTAACTGTACTTTTGAATAACTCAGGCTTGTCCCAAAAGGACTTTGCAAAAACAAAAAACAAAAAAAAAAAACAGAACAAAACAAAACAAAAACATACAAATCAGTAGTGCATTTGGGTACATACATGTAATAGGTATGTGTCTTACTATAATTCACATTCATGGATACAACATTGCCAAAATTCCATGTCACCTGTTACAGTCACAATGTAAGGCATATTGCCAACTCAAGCAACATGAAATATTTGGTGAATGAACCAATCTCCAGAGCTTGAGTTAACCAAGGACATGCAAAGTTTACTATTCCTGTGTAAACTTAGCACAAATTGTGTCTTACAGCTGTATGAGGTAATGGAGTAACACAAATTTAACAAGACAAACTCCTGTGTAGATGTACATTATAACAGCATACATCCCTTTTCTCTAAAGAAATGCCTATTTTTATGAAGACACAAGTCTTCTTGTGGGCTTTAAAGTTATTTATCCTACACGTTGTACATTTACATATATCCTTCTTTTCAGACTAAAATACACAGCATCTGTTTTGCCTACGGGGCTGTGATATTAAAATTGCGAAAAATAAACTCATGGTCGTATGTTGTATTGGAACAATCTAATGAAAACTGCAGTTGAACCTTGATAATGCTAATCTTAACTGTCTTGTGAATGTGATCACAGTGCTAACTTGTGTTTTGATTCTTAAATATGGGACACTTCCTGACTTTCTGGTTTATACAGTACTCTAATATACTTCTGGAATGAAAAACTGTGATATTTATCTGTATAATGTGTTTGTCTACAGGTTTAATGAAAAAGAGTGGAAAACTAGTATTTTTAGGATTAGACAATGCTGGTAAAACAACTTTACTTCACATGCTGAAGGATGATCGTATGGCACAACATGTTCCAACACTTCATCCAAGTATGTTGCCTTTTTGTCACTCATGCAGTTTTTGACCAATAAGGCTCAGTTCATACGCAGTGCTTCAGACGTACCAAACTTTTGAATTCTTGAATCAAGTTTTACAATAGCATAGCAGAAGCACAACCTCTGAATCAAAGTTTTGAATTTGGTTTGGCAGGCAATTGAGTTCGACAAGGTCTTTCATGCTTCACAACTCTGACACAGCAATGATTCTGACAGATGTCTTGCTTGTACTGTGTTGAACTAGATTCAGTAAATGCTGGAAATATACATGTATATTTTTTGTTTCATTTACAGCTGACTCTATAAAGTAACATATTTCATCTGAATTGAAGGAGTGCTTCTGTGATCAATTAATTACAATTGAGTTTGTCATTGCAGAAGTGCAACATATGAACCGGGCCTACAATTGTGTGCATGGTAACCCTATTTTTGTGCAAATTAAAGGCAAAGTGTGTACGCAGTAAACTTGAATTTTTCTAATTTTGGTTGAATCTGCAGCATCACAGGAGCTGTCAATGGGTGGCATGACTTTCACAACATTCGACTTAGGAGGCCATAAACAAGGTATGACCAATTTTATAATTTTAGAATTGACCTTTGTTTTTTTAGAATGTATTATGGAAGGATCAGTCAATCTCCAGTGCCATAAAATTTAGCTTTTACAAAGTAAGTTGTTTTTGTGTGGCAGTTGTGTTGAACAGCTTTGAATATGATATCACATTTTCAAACTTGCAAGCCATGATTGAATACATGTATGCTGTGGTTCTATTTATCCTTGTTTTAAATTAAATTTTTATTTTCCTTTGTTTGGTGGTTTGCAAGGGTGTGACATGTACATGTAGACCACCTTTAGACTTTGCCTTTCAATTTTGTCATTGTACTTTGTACTCTTTATGTTGGAAGGGGAATTATGTTAGTGTCCATATGAAAACATACATGTACTTGTAGTGCAGTAGTCCTGTGTTTCCGGCAGTGATTTTTTTTACCTCTGTATCCTGCGTCCCTGATGTATAAAAATCTCCAAAGATGCAAAATAATTATTCTTTGACGTAGAATGTGTCCCATAGGATGCAAAGAATGCTGTTTGTTGTTTAAAGATGCATACACATATTTACTTTAGTCATTTTTGTGCTTCAAATATATAGAAGGACTATGTATTAATTTCAGTAAAGTGTAATGAAGAGTTTTGGTGTCTGTCTCCAGATTAACTGCCTGGTTACATAAAGGTCCAAGCATTCTCAGTTTAGGACTCCTTGTTTTTTTAGTTGGGACTTTGAATCCCAGGACTCACCATAACTATTTGTGACAAAATCACTATTCCATTCAGTTTTCAAAAAAATCTCTTAGTTACACAACACTGTAATTCTATGTGCAATAATTTTACATTAATCCAGAGTCACTGGATCACTTTCATTTTAGTAGATGTTGTGCCTAGGTACATTGTAGTGTAAGTCAATGTACATGTAATTAAATAACTTTCGTTTTCATTGTAGCTCGTCGGATTTGGAAAGACTACTTCCCAGCTGTTAATGGAATAGTTTTCATCATTGATTGTGCTGATGGAGAGAGACTTGCTGAATCTAAAGCTGAACTTGAGGTGGGTCAGATATTCTGATCATATAGCCATCTTCTTTTCTGTTTAGTTTTCAATAATTATTAGATAATAATTAGAATGGGGAAATTTGCATAGTACAACATATGTTTGTAAGCTTTTTTCTTTGGCTTCAAGTTTACATTATTTTAATTTTATGTTTTTGTTCAAATACTTAGATAAAAAATAGTGCATTCAGATGTTCTTCATATTAAAACGTTAATAAACTGTAAAAAGATAAAAATTTTACAACATTCAACTGCAAGTCATGAAGTAAAAGAATGTGTCTGTTGCAAAATATAAACACTAACTAAACAATGCAGGCTAATATAAATAAATTTTATTGTCAAGAATGTTAGTTCAGACGAAGAGTTTTGCTTAAATGGAAGCAGGCTAGTGTTCAAGCTTGGATTGATTTCTTTGTGAAGAGCATCTCATATATCAGGCATTCAAACTTGGTTTGGTGCTTTTGAAGGTGTAGACTTGGCTTTCTTTGGGGTTATTTGCACTGTAATTGCCCACGAGTTTCCACAAGGTGTTTACAGAGAGCCAAGTTTTCATGCTATATGTTCAGCAATGCATTGTTCGAGATGTTGGGCCGTATAGCCAACATACACCCATAATTTGCTTAGCACAAATCACATGGAGTGAACCGTGCATCTGTTGGTTGCACTTCTGGTTTAGTAGCTAATTTGGCATTCAAATTTGTCTATGATTTAGATTTAAATTTAAAGAGTAAAAGTTAAGTAAACATAATTTTTCATCTTATCTTGCTTTGCTTTTGTCATAAGAAATTTGCCAAATTGCATACACAAAGACTTCTGTCCACGATATTTTCAAACAATCAAATCCGATGAATTGCGCCATACTGTGAGCTGCAACTGAAAAACTGAAAAACTGAAAACTGACGACTATAATTATTTCTCCAGTCGGTTGCCAAAAGGTGACCTGAGCATTTTTTTTTTTAATTTTGAGCCATGTTAATATTAATGTTGTTGTTATTATTATTATTATTAATATTATTATTATTGTTGTTATTGTTAATACTGTATTTATTCAGCTATAAGCCGAGACCCTGTTGTTACAAGACTTCAGCTACTGTAAAACATGACATTTTGGAAAAAAAATGTGACTTTCTCTAGGAAAATGTGCAATTGTCGTTTTGGTTTTTCGCAGCTACCAATTTTTCCTCATGTCTTCATTGTATTATGCTTGAAATGATCACATAAATCGTTTAGTGGTAACGACTTTTATTAACGTGTCAAGAATCTCTAGAGCATAGCACTAACTGGTGACACAAAAATAAAATAAATCAAATATTAAAATAGTATCAAAACAGCCACATCAGCTTGCATTACGTTTGTCTGTGCTTAGTAACCAGGCAAATGTTTCAGAGCACATGTTTGACCAAACATGGCGAATTGTTTACACAAGTCATTTCTTGACATCTTTCATTTGACACCTTCCCTGGTTGTAAAAGGCTTACTAATGTGAGATTTACAGCTGTAGTTTGTGAGACCTGTTTTTGTCAGATAATTATTTTGACAATTTGGGACTGAATTTCTGTGCTTAGTTAAATTAACATTCTGATTTGTATTTTTGTGATCAATTGGATCATTTGCTGCTAGTTGCTCAGCTTATAAGTGAATACATCCCCATTTAGTACTAGCATTTCAATGCACTAAGAAAATTTTGGGGTCAAAAACTCTTGGCTCTAAGCAGAGACCCCCTCTTGGGCTCAAACTTCACTGAACTTTAGCTTTAATTTGTGTAAAAATTGCTTGGCTCATAGCCAAATAAATACTGTATTATTAGTACAATGTATAATTTTCAATATGGTAAAAAAAGCTGACATTTAGACATGCTAAAAGGCAAACATGCTGATTAGCAGACAGGCTTACACCCTGACATGTGGACAGGTAGACTGCAAACATGCTGATGCACAGATGTGCAGACATACATACTTGCACGCAGTCATGCTGCCATGCAGATAGACTAATACAAAATTGCTGACAACCAGACCGGGTTTACATGAAGTCCGAAGATGTCGACCCATATTACAAAACAGTGTTCTGAAACTGAATTATACTTTGAAACTGTACAGAGCTTGTTGGCAGATGAGCAGTTGGCAAGTTGTCCTGTACTTCTTCTTGGTAACAAAATCGACATCCCAGGAGCAGCCAGTGAGGATTATATTAGACAATACTTTGGCCTATATGGTCTTACAACAGGAAAGGTAATACATGTATGTTCAATCATCTAAAAACACTGAATTTTAATTTAAGTACAGTAGTTTGTTTCTAAAATAAAATGACTGGACATGTGTATCTTTCATAATTATTTTAAATGAGTTCTTTTTGTAAATGTCACATGCCACTTTATCTCCAAACTAGTGGGGAAAAAGAATCAAAATGGTAAGGCCGTATAGGATTATGATCTTCAGAATATTTTAGAGTATAATTGTTGGTTAAATTTAACTCGTATATGTTCTTGCAGGGAAACATCGCCGCCAAAGATCTCCAAGCTCGACCAATGGAACTGTACATGTGTAGTGTGTTAAAACGGCAAGGATATGGTGAAGGTTAGTTTTCTCATGAAATACACTATGTAAATAATTATGCATACACTACAATGTATGAATTGCTCTGCTTGAACATTGTCTAAGGCTACATGCTCATGTGCCGACTCAAAAACCGTACTGGATAGGGCATACAGTGTACACTGTACATGCAATAACAGTGATTTCAATTATTATTTTTGCAATGCAGCTACATATGTAAGCTACACTACAATTGTCCAAGTGAGGACAGGTATTTGGACTATGGGAGAGTAAATGAGTAGCAGCGAGGGCTGGGACGCAAGTAGACGGAAGTAGGAAAAAGCGGGATTGGGATTAAGTGCACTTTACTGTCTCAGCCAACTGCTTGGGCATGGTACTGGATAGCTTTTCTTGCAACCAAAAAACCTGTCCATCATGGTGTAGTTATAGCCTGAGGCCCCATTTATAATGGAGAAAACTTGTCCCAGGAAGAAGGGTCACTCATCTCCCTGCTACCCAAGCTATCCTGGGTGAGCCGACTTTTCCTGCATTTCTTCGCAAAACTTGGAACCCATTTAAATGAGGAACAAAAAGTTGGCTTGGCAAAAAGGGTGACCTACCTAATGGGGTCACCCTCCTGGCCGGGCATACTTTTCTCCCTACACTGTATAAACACTTTGGTTTGCCTAGCCAGGTCAACTTGTTAAAGGCCAAACAATCAAACCATGCATGAGTGCTGTTTTGTTTCTTGGCTTGGGCAAAGGGTCATCTTTTTTTTCATAATAGTGTGCAAATGCTTCCAGGGACAACTTTTCTCTATACAATGTATAAACAGGGCCTTAGTTAAACCCTACCAAACATGTAAGACGCATAACAATTAATACACATGTGTAGATCTTACAATGTATGTTGTGACCGCTCTGGGCAGGTTATCACTTCCTAGAAGTAATGTTCTTATATGCACAGCATACCATACGATGTAACTTCTTCAGGGGTAGAACATTACATTTTATTAAATTTTCAACCTCAGATAATGCATTTCTAGCATTTTGATTGGTTCACTCAATCTCGATTATCAGCTCATATACCTTAGCTTGACCTTATATGGAAATCAACAAAATCTCTCTCAGACAAAGCGGCAGAAAAAAGCAGGTTTCATGAGCTTTCCTTACAAATTTAAAGAAATTATGAGAGCTTAAGCTTAATTTTTCGGGTGGGTAGAAAACGAAGACCCTGGTCGAAATTTTGTATAACTGAAGATATCGTTGTTTCTTACTCATCTAAGGTCGAGATACCCGTTTCTAGATATTTATAAGTGATTTTGAGGTGGGTCTTCGTTTTTGGGTCTTAGGTCTTCGTTTTCTACCCACCCTTAATTCTTCTCTGCGTTGAGCTGATTATGTAACAACAACAACAAAGTTTACCTAAAAACTTTTGAGAGTGGCTTGCAAGTCCATGCAGGCATAGCAGGTTTTTTGCATGTTTGAAGAGTTTTTACACCTCTTAACACTTTCACAAGTCTATAACGGGCCTCAAGTGAATCCTGCAATGAGCGGCTTTCCATTGAACAACAACAATAAATTGGTTAGTGAAGCTGGGTCTTTGTGCAGCCCTGATTCAGCGGAGGAAGAAAACGAAATTGAAGAGCAATCAGGTCGATTTATCCAGCATCAAATTCCACAGTCACAGCGAGGGAAAGCAAAAACAGTACTTTTCGAGAATAATTTAAGCACAGCATCCTTCCCTTTCAGATTTTTCATTCAACTAAGTTCACAAACGGCGCACATGTCATGTGATTTTCCCTTGGTTTACCAGAAGTTACAATGGTCGTTTTGTAATATTTTGAAATTTACTAAAATTCAGTCGTAATAACCAGACGTTTTGAGTTTTAAAAAATTTAATAAAACAATTATTCCATTCGCGCTTGTTGGATTTGAGTTATAGCCAACTCATATGCAATGTTCACTCATGGAATAATTGTTAAGTATTTATTTCAGAAGAACATTTGTAACGATGTCTTTCTTTGATCACCCAGGTTTCAGGTGGCTGGCTCAATACATATAATCTTACTTGTGAGACTTTGACTTACATGTAAGCAACAGAAAAATGTTAATTCACTCAGCAAGTACACTGTGAGGAGAAACAAACATGGAGGATCTTGAGTCAAGAAGAGAACATTGTATTAACAGTATGAACAAGGAAAGAAAGTTCATCTCCTCAGCAAAGGCCACCAAACAATTTATCAGACTGATCAGTATTTTCTTTTATGATTGATTCAATGATTGATGCCATCTCGAGACTATTGTGATTTCAGTTTGCGTCAAGAGTTAAAGGTTATTTTGTGCAATGTGTAATATCTCACATTCTACACTCAAAATAATGTTTAACCACTTAGTTTGACATTGTTTGGGATTTTAGCGTAGAAATGGCATCAAGAGTCCTTTACAAGTTAGCTCTAGTCAGAAATGGTAATTGAACACATAGATTCATATTAATTTAGGAAACTAAGTGTAATTTAGTTCATTTTTGTTTTCTTTTTTTGTACTTGGCCACCTCCATTTATCGTAAGCACTCAAGGGAAGGATTTGGGAGCCGTGGTAAAGTTTCTGAGAATTCTTGTAAAAATTGGTATGTTAGAGGTGCTGGATGAATGAAACCACTTTCTTGCAGCTTACTGTTTTGCTTCACGGAATACCGTATTTATGCGAATAAGCGCCCAACCTCGAATTAGTGCCCACCTCGAATAAGCGCCCATCCTAAAGGCAGCAAAAGTTAATAAGCACCCAGCCTCAAATAAGCACCCACCCTCACCCCACCCCCTTTCCCCTCACACCCCCAAAAATTGAATAAGTACTAATTAGAGACTTCCCGGAAGACGCAGTTTTCTTCAGAGTATTTTACAGAAACCTTGCTTTGTTACATCGTCACGTTTTGTTTTTACAATTTATTGTTTTGTTGCAAAATAAACATACTACACTTGCTGAAAATGTTGAAAATTTAATAAGCGCCCAGCCTCGAAAATAAGCGCCCACCTCGAATGAGCACCTTCTCTCAAGGTCCAAAAATTTATTAAGCGCCCAGGGCGGTTAATCGAATAAATATGGTAGTAGTATGTACAGTGCCAAACTCCAGATAACCTAGCTCCTTGAAGGACACAACTAGGGCAAAGAACTTACAAATCCTAAACACTTGTACTGATCAAAATTTACCAATTCCTGCTTCTGGACTCCACAAACCATAATATTGATAACACAAGTTATTAAAGGTGAAACTGTTATGGAAAACGTTGGCTTATTCATAACCTTGCCTTGATGTGGTCTTACATTTTTGGGGGGAAGTGGTTGGTGAGGTTAACAAAATAGTATTTGCATAAATCTAGGCATTTAAATGGCTTCAGCATGAAATCATTAGGTGTTTTGGCTATATTTTTAACAAAAACTGAACAAGAAGAACATTATAGCTTCTTGTTGCTCACATGGGCCTGTTCATCCTCCTTCGACGTTGTGCTTTATTGTGCTGAATGAATTAGGTGGTGCTGCATTAGTAATGAAGGGAAACACAAAAACGTGGTTTCATAAACTAAGATGACAAAACATTTGTCACTACAATAAGATTCAAAAGCTTTGAACCTACTCTTCAGCAGATTGATTCAAGAACCAGTTGGTTGTTACATGCTTGTATGTATGAACAAATACACAGTTTTCGTTCAACGAACTTATTCTTGCTTTTTCAACTTACCGTGTTTCATCAATACTATAGTGTACCCAAAATACAACCCACAGTTCCTTGAATTACTCTGACAAAGGACTAGTACCCGGAAACGTCTTTTAAATCTCTTTGTAGTGGCCATTCAAATGTTTGTGTTGTCCTTCACACTGCTAAGCTATTAATGTTGCAGAAGGTGAACCTGTAACTGGCTGAAAAATTGAAAATGTTTTTATTTCACTTATTTTTCACAATCAACTTAATTTAGCTTGTTCTACTTTTTAAATTAGTCAGAGTTCACCAATATTGATGTTCATTTTGCAATAATTATTTTTTTTCCATTGCATAGTAGACTGTAATTATAGAGATTCTCCAGACAGGTGCGGTACATGTAACTGATGCTTCTCATCCCTTTCCAGTTCCACATTTCACAGTATGATCAAACAATGTTCAATCATGATCTAGTGCAACTAACAAGAAGTTTTTCTTGTCGCAATTTTTAGTAGCGACTGCACCCTGTACGAGATTTATACCTCTGGGACGGATAAATTATGTTGGCACTCGGAAATAATGAGATTAGAATTAGCCAAAGTAGTCATCTATTCTACTTATCATTCTTTTTAGGAGAATTTCTTATAAATCGTGACCTTTGCCGTCCCTTAGATCGACTCTAAGTTTTGGGAAAATAGATAACATGAAAGCGACTTTCAGAGATTATACCCAGTGGATTGTGCCATTGTTAGGAAACAGCTCTCTTTATGGACACCACAACAGACACCTGCCAGTAGCGGCCACCTAGAGTTAGTGCCTGCTCTCTACAAAATGGAAATCGCTTCTAAGTGAGACTCACCAGTGTCCTTGTTAGTGTGTTCAAGAGAGTTGACTTCTTGGTTTACTGTGGTCTTGGAACTGGAATAGTATTACTTGTGTTCACCTGACTTGCCCATTTAAATTATTGTGAGAGGGCGGGCTTTGCTTAGGGCAAGCTGAATTTTCTCAAGTCTGCCCTCTTGCAAGATTGTGCTTGTACATTGACATTATTAACATGAAATAATTATTTTATATGTACAGTATTAAAGAACTGATATAAATAATAGTGTGAAAGTTCTTGGCTTGATCATATAATTCTTTTAGTGTGGTTTGTTAAGAATACAGCTTTGTTATGGTGGGTTTGCAATTCACAGTCTTGCAAAGCAAAACATCACTGAGGAAGTTCGACAAAAGAGAGGTAATTTGTAAATAATGATAATAGTTTTGAGAAGAGATTGACATGCTCAACTCGGTCAGTAAGTAGGCCATGCTCGAATTGTGACCGTCGGTCGGCTGTTACGTAACCTTCGCAACAGTTTGTTTTGGGAAAAAGGTTGTTAATCCTTGTGGTAATCCTACGGTTGATGAAACAATACGGTCCCGTTTTTCTCCCCTCAAGAGTGTGGCTATATTATAAGAACTGGGCCCGGTTCCTTGTGAGATAATTGTTTTAAGTCCCTATAATTCAGGCGGCCAAAAAGCGCGAATCCGAAAAATCAACATGCAATAAATCTTTTCCAGTGCTGGATAGTTACTCCATTTGCAGCACCGAACAACAACGGCAGTGGACCATGTTCTTTTTCGGAAAATAAAATAGAGTAATTTATGCTACGTGGAACTTAATTACCTCCCCCCCCCCCCCCCTCCCTTTCCGGCCCGCCCCAGGTTTTAGAAGACCCAAAAAACTTTTCGCCCCGTACAACAAAAAAAACAACCCCCCACATTTTGGAGCCCAAACATATAGGATTGTTTGCGTGCCGGGCAAACACACGTCAAACGCAAAAAACAAATCGAAAAAAATTTTTTCGCGGCTGGGTTATTTTCTCATTTTCCACCCCCAACAACAACGGGGGTGGGGCCTTTTTTTTTTTTGGAAAAAAAAAAAAGGAAATTTTGTCACCTGGGAATTTATTTCCCCCCCCCCCCCCCCCCCAACTCTTTCCGTCCTGCGGACGTATTTAGACGACCCAAGATACTTTACGCTACGTGCAACGAAAGCAACAACTCCCAGCATTTTGGAGCCAACAATTTTAGGAGTTGTTGCGTGCGGTGCAAACGGACGTAACGTGTAACATCCAACAATGTTGGGAGTTGTTGGCTAACAATGTTGCGTCCGTTTGCATGGGCCTTGAGTCAAATGCCTCTATTTTTGTAAGCGTTCGCAAACGTGCGACTTTTGACTTGCGAAAATGGCACTAAGCATATCTCTGCGATAGGCTTAGCTGGAAGCATCGTGAAAAATGGCCTCAAAGTCTCCGGGATTTTTCCAAAAATTCTTTCAAAATCTCCTCTTTCACCTCTAAAAATCCAACAAACTCCTAAAAATGTCTTAAACTACTGTAATATTGAAATAGACTAAGTGGTCTGTGGTGAAAAGTCAATGCTCGAGCTTGAGGAAAAAACCGCTGATTGATGCCCAAGACTTTGAAAACAAAGGCTTCAGAATCACTTGTGATGAAGTTTCAAGTTTAACGGTTTTGGTGTGCGAGAGAAACAAAAAGCCATGAAACTGAATATTCATAAAATCTCTAAAAATTCTTTCAAATTTCTGAAAATCCCGAAATCATTCAACCTGCGACGTGTTGCAGACAAGTCAACAATCGTGTTCCAGATCATTTGGAAACCATCAGTTGTTAAAGAACTCCGCTTCCGTGATATCACTTGGAAACTCATGAGAGGAGAAAAGACGGAGAGAACAGACTAAGAAAGGAAAATTCGAAGATGAAGCAACAATGGAAGAATAGCCGGAAAGGTTTGGGGAATGGGTGGGTCGAAGAAAACCACAAAGCTCTCGCAGAATAACAAACAACGGAACCCTGTTGATATCAAAGACGATTTACCAACGGGCATGACTAACACTATCAGCGGTGATCATCGCAGCGACGTGCTTTTACGAGAGCGACATCACTTGCCATATTGATATGATTTGCCCCTCGCTTTCTTCTTTCAATAGATTGGGCATATTCATAATGCATCTTAGATTGTTGCTGATTTCCCAAGGCTCGCTCCACAAGACCGAGAGTACTGTAGGTGCGTGCTACCTCCGCATGATCTCTTCCAAGCCTTTTGAGGCGAATGGCTAAGGCAATTTTGAGATAATCGGAGGCTTTCTGGAGATCACCCAGACGGTGCAGTACAAGGCCAGAGAAGTAGTAGTTCCGTGCTAGTAAAAGACTATACGAGCCAACATTTTTCTTTGCAATAGCTAGTGCACTATGAAGATGTTCCTTTGCCTGCTGGTGTTCGCCTAAGAGGCTCTCTAAAAGACCTAAGAAGCCGTACGTTCCTGAAACTGCTAGGTGATCAGTGCCGAATTGTTTTATTTGAATTGACAAGACACGTTCAAAATGTGTTTTTGCTTGCTGATGGTCATCCAGGCGATAGTGTAAAAGCCCCAAGGCAGAGCAAGTAGCGGCAACATCCAAGTGATAAGATCCGCATTTTTTCAGTTGAACAGACAAAGCACTTTCAAGGTAGTCTTTGGCCTGCTGAAGAGCCCCCAAAGCACTCTGAGCAAGGCCCATGCCATAAATAGTACGCGCCGCATCTTGGTGGTCAGGTCCAAGTATTTTCAGTTGAATAGATAAGGCTTGCTGGTAATGCTCCGTAGCTTGCATATGGTCACCCGCGGCAATTTCAGCAAGACCTAAGTCGCAATAGCTAGAGGCAACATCTAAGTGCTGAGGTCCAAGATTTTTTAGTCGAATGGATAATGAGCGTCGAAGGTATTCCTTGGCTAGTTGATCTTTAGCTGTTGCACTTAACGCAAGACCCACTGCAGAATAAGTCCGTGCAACATCAAGGTCATTTGGACCAAGCTTTCGCCGCCTAATTGATAACGCTTGTCCAAGACTTTCCTTTGCTTGCTGAAAATTATACAACGAAATTTGTGCAAGTCCTAATCCACAGTAAGTGCATGCAACATCAAGGTTGTCAGGACCCAACATTTTCTTTCTAATTAATAAGGCACGCTCAAAATGATCTTTGGCATTTTGCCCGTCACCTAGGTGGGTTTCTAATATGCCTAGGCAATGGTAACTACGAGCAACGTGAACGTGGTCAGGACCCAACTGTTTCAGATAAATGGAAAGTCCTCTTTCTAAATGCTGTTTGGCTTGATTTTCTGCATCCAGGTTCCTGTGTACCACACCCAGAAAATGATAAGTACTCGCGACGTCAATGTGTTCAGGTCCAAGTCTTTTCAGACGAGTTGATAGGGCAAGCTCTAGGTGACTCTTAGCCTGGCAATGTTGACCCAAGGCGTTATCTACAAGCCCCAAGCAGTGATAAGTGCGAGCAACTTCGACATACTCCGGACCAAGCTTTTTCAGATATATACGTAGAGCTTGTTCAAGATGTTGCTTGCCCTGCCAGTGGTCACCAAAAGCAACGTTAATAATACCCAAGCCATGGTGCTTGCGCGCGTCATGAATATAATCAGGGGGGCGAAACAAATGTTTCAAAAAAATGGGAAAAGCATTTTCGTATTGCTGCTTGGCATGCTGATGGCAACCTAACGCTCTATAAACAAGACCCAATAGATGACAGGTACGACCGATGTCAACATGATTTGGTCCAAGTTTCTTAAGGCTAATGGATAAGGAATGCTGGAGATGCTCCTTGGCCTTCTGAAGGTCACTTGATCGGTACTTTGCAAGACCCAATAATAAATTTATTCGGGCGACTGAAATGTGCTCTGGCCCATTCCTTTTAAGATAAATGGAAAGAGACCGTTGAAGGTGCTCACTGGCTTGCTGGTGGTCCCCCAAGTTACTGTGTAGGACACCCAAACAAGAGCGAGTGCTTGCAACATGTAGATGGTCAGGCCCACTTTTCAACTGAATTGCCAAAGCACGCTCTAAATTATCTTTTGCTTGCAGCGTGTCACCTAAATAATACTGAACAACACCTAACCTGCACTTAGTACACGCGACATCTAGGTGCTGAGGTCCAAGTATTTTCAGTCGAATAGACAAGGCGCTTTCGAGGTGCTCTTTGGCTTGTTTGTGTTCACCCATCTGGCTTTCCACCACACCCAAGCAGTAGAAAGTACGACCTACTTGAGCATGGTTTGAATCCAGCTTTTGCTCCAAAATTGTCAAAGCACGTTCAAAATTCTGCTTAGCCTTCCGAAGATCACCCATGTCCCTGTTTACAACGCCTAAGAAGTGGTAAGTACTCGCTACGTCGAAGTGTTCTGGCCCATGCACTTCTAAACGAGCGGTTAGGGCAAGCTCAAGATACTCCCTAGCCTGTCGATGGTCACCCAGGGCGCTTTGTAAAAGGCCTAAATAGTGATTAGTACGTGCGACGGTGACGTGCTTAGTTCCAAACTTTTTAAGGTAGAGAAATAACGCATGTTCGAGGTTCTTCCTGGCCAGTTGATAATCACCCAAGGCACTTTGTACAAGGCCTAAGCCATAGGACGCGTGTGCTACGTCAATGTGCTCAGGGTCGAACTTTTTGAGGTTCATTTCTAAGGAGCGTTCATAATACTCTTTGGCTTGAAGATAGTCACCTGACTGAATGGCAGTAATGCAAATTTGGGAGCTCTGAAGCCCTTCTTCGCAGTTCATTATAAATCTTCTCAGGACTCTGTTGCTCCGTTCACCTGCTTAAAATAATATAATTATTATAATTAAGAATAGACCTATTTAATTTGTGTGTTTCGTTCAAATTCCGCTTATTAAAGAGGCTGTGCCACGGCTAACTATTTCACTTTGTTTATAATGCGAATTAGCGGTCGTTATTCGCTACAGAACTGCAGAAATTACTCGTGAGTGACAAAAGTACAGCTTCCTACCAAACAACTATGTCTCCCAGTTATTACATCTAACGTTACAAACAACGAGAATAAACTTTGAAAAACTCATTGTAAGGCTAACAATGTTTCTGTTTCAATCTTCTTCATGTTTGCCCATCCTTCCCCCCTTTTTATTTCCTGTTATAGAGCAATGTTTTGAAATTTTTTTTTACGTTTCACCTTTTTTACGTCTTGGTGTTAGTTCCGACGGTTGAATTTTGATAACTTTCGTGACACAGCCCATTTATAACGCGCATAATAAATACGTGCTGTTAATCAAAAAAGGCCAATTTTCCGCCGGCATATCTCGTGACTTAGGGCCTGTTTACATGGAGTGGGGGACCCCGGTCTAGTGGGGTTGGTTTCTTTTGTTTTCGCGCTCTGGGGGAAACAAAACAAAAGAAACCTAGCCCACTAGACCGGGGTCCCCCACTCCATGCATGTAAACAGGGTCTTACATCGAAAAAAAAAAACCGGATACATATACAAGCTAAAGGTGTCTTTCATTGTCTCATGGCCTGGCAAGCCAGCCCCATTTCATTCCTTTGACACAATCGGATACAATACACCAATACGAACAAAAGGTACTTAACAATTATTCCTCGAGCCCGAATGGGCTCTGAGTCAATAGCCCATGAGGCCGAAGGCCGAATGGGCTATTAACTCAGAGGCCACTCTTAGGACAAGAGGAATAATTGTTTTAGTAAAATCCATCTAGTTGGTAAAAAATATCGAGACAAAACAACTTTAGCTAGCAACTCGCGATTTAGCCGCCATTGTATTGTTTTTCACAGCCGGCACTTTTCGTTACTAGTGGGCTATAACATATAGCCTACTAGTAGCTCAACCAATCAGAACGCAGCATTGATAATAGACCACTAGTTGGATTTTACTAATTTTTATTTTAGTAGAATGAATAAGAAAGGAATGTGTATAGTAACCGAATTTTAAAACAAATAATGATTGTTAGCTAGCACTTGAGATGTAATGACCCCATATTGGCTCTAACGACACTCTTTAATAGGCCATTTTTTAGTTCCCCGGGCCTCTGTTGCAAAACGAGATTAACTGCTCGACCGGCTCAGCCTTTGATATGAAAATAATTTTTCATTCTCGTGAAAATAGAACTCATTTTCACAAGAAAGGTTGTGCACTTCGCCTCATTTTGAAAGTAATGGTTTTCGGAACTCGGAAGTGGCCTATTGTCAGAGATAGTAAAACCATAACATATACAGTAAAGCCCCACGATAAAGGACCTGTTTTTTAAGACCTGTTTGGATAAAATTTGCCAGTTAGTCTCTCTCTCTAGCCTAAAATTTGAAATAGGTTCTTATTATCTAAAACAAGACGCTGTGGGAGCGTATATTTTTTGGCGTCGATATACTATGCGTGTGTGAAGTTTTTTTTATGTGTATTAGGGATGTTTGAGTAGTGCAGTAGCGTTGTATATTTTAGGGTTTGGTTGAGATGCGTAAAGTGGAAGGCGTGGAGCTATATTGGACATAAATTGGTAGGATAAAGGCTGTAGTTTGTTAATCACTGAAACTGGTTTCTCGTAGAATTTAATATGAAGTAACAAAATTTTTTTTTTTTGTAAGTCAAAGTGATTTTAGGTGTTGCAGTGAGGTAGTTGTGGGAGTGCTAATTTGGTTACGAAGGGATAGTAGTTCCAGTCTGTTGAAATGAAGTGGTGGTTGTGAAAGATCTTATCAATAGTCGAAAACAAACTTGTACTTATTTTAAACGTTATTAGGCTTGGAAAGGTCAGTTAATATAGAGAAGGGGGTATGAAGATGTTGAGGGGGTGCTGAAATTTTGTGTGTGCTTGTGTGTGTTCGGGGGGCTTTGAAACATCGGTGAGGTCAAAGTGTTTGTGCACACTAGATGCCCCGATAGAATTTTCTAGCTCGTAAAATGTTTTGTAACACTTTATACGTTGTATATGCAGTTTATAACTGAATGTCATGTCAAAAAACCAGCATTAAAGTCAACCCTGGGATAAACATTCTTGGAAAGTCATAATGTTATACCAAGCTGTCACCACAAATACAACAACGAAGCGACACTGTGAAAGAAAGTTTTGTAATGTATTGTGTGGTGGAAGGAGTCGTCGTAGTCATAAAGCATCTTCGGAGAATTTTTCAGAATTCGGAGAGTAATTAAGAGAAAGCACTGAATAACGAGGGATACTGATTTCCGAAAATAGGAATCGTTTTAGATCAGAACATGCTCGTTTTAGATCACACCATGCTCCACTAACCTCGGGTGGAACAGCCCGGAAACATCAATAAAAGTCAGGAAAAGAGCTGTGAAAATGTTTTCGATACAATGGAGGTGCTTCATATTACTCTAAGTGGAGTGAAGAACATCTTTCGTTTTACCGACAGTTTCGTTTTAACGCTTGAATTCTAATTCCACTACATCTCAATTCCATTCTTTGAAACTCACTCTAATCTCCTAAGAAGCTAAGTAGTGTAATCAGATAGGGTATATTTTTTTATATTTACCAGACCTCTAACCTCTCTGTCTTGAAGGCTCCTCCACTGCCCATTTAGATTCAGTTGGTTATATCGGACACCAGATCAAATGTAAGAAGACCAAAGACTGAAGAAGCAAAGGAAAGCAAAGGGTAAAGGAAGGGTATATTTGCCCACAACAAATATGAACTGTGCAGCACATTTTAAATGTGCGAACTCATCGCATTATATTGATCGCTTGTGGTTTTGCGTGATGCGGAAGTAACAAAATCGAAAGTTGCCTGAGGGTTTTCTCTGCATGGCATACATAAGTGTTATTCCAGAGATATTTAAGTGACTGCATTATAGATGTGAAACATCCTTTAGGATATATCATAAGAAATCAAAGTAGATGGCAGGCTGAGACCAACAATTATAAAACAGTGTAAATGGTATTAGAATCTCTGAATAAAACATTTTTGTTCTTTCTCCTTTCAGCACGCCTTGGTTAAGTTGATCGCCCGCATGCCGAAAAGAAAGGGGAAGTAAAGGAACGAAACTGTTCGAAAAGAGCTACTGGACGTAGACCTGAATACAAGTGGGGTATATCTTCAGGCAACAGTTAACCCTCGGACGTACACGCAAAGTCATACCCCTACCGGGGTACAAGAGGGGAGGTTGATGGACAGCCCCCCCCCCCCCTCTCCTTGATTTTTTTTTGATATGTTGCAGTATTTCGAAACATTTTGCCTTCAGTGGAAATCCTGTACACAGGCCTGTATACAGGCTTTCTGGCGAACGATGAGGAGCGGCTGTATTCGAAGGCAAAGATAATGCGAGACAACACTCAACGTGAAATGAACAGTCATAACAGTAGGAACTCTTATTATTTATCAATCGAAATCGATATCCGGTACCCGAAGGTTTAGCCTGTTCACAGACCCTCTATTTTCTCTTCAAAGTCCGCCAAGCGCGCGTGATAAAAAATAAAACCGCGGGGGTATCGCTTCGCTCGCGCGCACGCCGATGTTTTCGAAAGGAACGAAAAGAAAAATATAACTACGTCTGTGTACTGCCTACCAAAGAGCCTTGAGATGCAACAGTGATATATAAATAAAATAAATAATAAATAAATAATAAAGTTATCATGACAAAGCAAAATATAAAAAAAAACTGTAGTGTAACTTGTATTAACTTAACATACAAAGATTTATAAACTGTGCAATCACCTGTATTTTACCAAGGCTCGTCCCACTCTAAACTGAGATCAGGCTTTGCTTTCATGTCACTTGGTAAATAGATTTCCGGCAGCAGGGCGGATCGAAAAGTTTCTCATTTGATACAGTACGTGTACGTGTTTTCAAAACAAGAAAACACCTTGATGCATGTCATTTGGAAAATTCCTCCTCTTTGTTGATTTATCCTTTGTCAGCAGGCAGCGAGAATGCAGTATCAGCACCTTGGAAAACGCTTATGGTGCAATTATGTATTCATGCGCTATTCACGTGAGCACAGACCTTGCACTTAACACCAGGGCCGTCGCGGCCACATACCATGAGAAGAGAACATCGGGAGCAGCCTTGCCTCCAACGCAGACGTTCTTAAAGGTTTCCGTAAGAAAGTCTACGGGGGAGGCTAGATGCAGCCAGTCTAGCTGTTAATTACAGGAATGGCTCCGAGCTGGGTTTTTAAAGGAAACCGCTGACCAGAGCTACACCCTCAGGAACCGTTTTTCCACAAACATCCTCTACCACAAGTAAAGCCAACAGCCATCGCACTTCATGCATCTACCCCCATTAGCCCTCATTCACCTTCTTCCACCTTCATCTATCTCTACGAGCCTTCATTTACCTTACTTAACCTTTATCTACCTCCAATACATGTCCAATAGCCTTCATTCACCTTCGTTCCCCTTCATCTTCTCCATTAGTCTTCATTTACTTGCGTTCGCTTCATATTGCATCTACCCCCATTAACCTTCATTTACCTTCATTCACCGTCAACTACCCCAAATAGCCTTCATTCACCTTCATCCAACCTTCATCTACCTCCAGTAGCATTTAAGGCACGCCCAGTTATAAATCCTCTTCTGTTCGGTCGTGGCGTCAATATCCGGGCACTGTTTGTTCACCCAGTTAAACCCAGAAGGTGTTGCGTGTTTCGACAAAACCAGCGCCGTATTGCGATTGCCTTTCATTTCTATATTTCCTTCTGTTTAATGCAACACACGCCTTTTTTAGAAGTCTAAATTTCGGCTAAGGGTAAAGAACAGGAAGAAGATTCGGACGACGGAATTTATAGTTCGAGAATAGGCAAG